CTTCATATCCGGTCACATGGGCGGCAAGCCACTCCCACAAAGGAGGCCACACCCACAGAGTAGGTTCGAACAATTTTTGAAACCCACCACTGCATCAATTGACTTTGTCCTTAACATTGGGGGTGATCCTTTCTGGAGAGATAAATTCCTTTCAAGGAACCCTTTAAAAAGACCATCTTACTGGAGGTCATCCCCACAACATCTTGTAGCAATGAAACAAGAGCTGGAGTAGCTGTTGATAGGGAAATGCTTTAGTTGGTTTGTCTCCTTTAAATATAATAATTGCCTTGACAGCCTGAACTGGAAAGGCAATCTGAAAGCAAAACCCTGCAGAGAGGAAAAACAGGGGATTCTTTATCCTTTGCCATTCAGCCTTTTTTAATGTTGCCTGTTTCCTGCATTTGTTCCCCGTGGAGGATGTGAATCTTTTGTGATACAATCAAAACTCCAGGAGATGAGTCAAATGCTTACATGTAGGGTTCCTACCTTCGGATATTATTCTTCCTAGATATTTTTAGATCGCTCCAGCAGGAAGTTTCTAAAATCATGTTAATTAAAAAGTTAATTGGAAGCACGTACGCCAAAAATCAAAACAGGAATGTCCAGCATGACCTTTATGTTCAAGAATGCCTTTGGCCCTCGTGTAAATCTCATAGGTATTTTTAGAAAGTAACTGACTGCTTCAATCTATGTTTTGTTTGGAAGAGCACTCGGAAAAAGAGAGAAAAAATGGCTTTCTAGAGGAAGGGGCCCCAATCTTCCAAGCTTTGCACACCGGCAGTTGGGGGTGTGGAAGAAGTAATGGTCCCATGCAAGCAGCAGGCATGCACACTCCCCTGCTGCTTGTGCGGCCTGGTTCTGAATGGGCCGCAGCCCAGTACTGTAGCTGTAGTCTGGGGGTTGGAGATCCCTGTTCTAGAAAACATTCTGGAAAGCTGAAGGATCTTAGGAACAGCTCTTCAACTTGTCAAGCATAAGTCTTTGCAATGCTAAGTTACTGATTAGTCTAACACAGGGGTATCGAACTCAATTTCATTGAGGGCCACATCAGGATTGTGTTTGACCTTGAAGGTCGGAGGGGGAGGGCGTGGCGAGGGTGGGCATGGCCAGCTTGACATCACTCATCCAGGCTCTGTTTTTGGCTGCGGTGGCCTCCTGGAGCCCTATGCCAGCAAAAACGGAGCCCGGGAAGGCCATGCACTGGCAGAGGGCTCCAGGAAGCCATTGCAATCAAAAATGGAGCCTGAATAGCCCGTATGCAGCCTCCCTGAGCTCTGTTTTCACTGGCAGGAGGCCATCGCAACTGGAAACGGAGCCCAAAGGGCCATGCACGGCCCTCATAAGCTCGTTTTCACTGGCAGAGGCATCACAGGCAGGTCCTTCACTGTTTCCACAGCAGGTCCACGAGTCAGATCTAAGGACCCCGTAGGCCGTACCAGGCCCATGGGCCTTGAGTTTGACACCCCTGCCCTAACACATTATTTCTCAGTCTTGGCAACTTTAAGATGTGTGCATTTCAATTCCCAGGATTCTCCAGCTGGCTTGGAGCTTCCTGGCTAGGGAATTCTGGGTGTTGAAGTCCACAAATCTTAAGGTTGTCAAGGTTGAGAGACATTTGAGGCAGAATTGTAAACTTCTAGGGACAAAGGAAAAGCTCTGCATCTGAGTATGTTTGAGGCAGCTAAAAAGTGGCACTTTAAAAAAAAACAATGTCTGGATACATGAAACGGTGTTCTTCGTGTCTGCTGACTGAAATATTCCAGGCTAGGATCCTCCCATCCCAGTTTTCACACATTTGTAGCCAATTTGCTCAAAGGGAGATTCACACTTCTAGCAAAATGCCAAAACAACATCTACCACCCTGCTGACTTTGTTTGGAAGGGATGCATCACGAAGGAAGCTGGGGAAAAAAAATGGAAACGCTGCCTTTGCTGACTCCTGGAGCGCCTGTTTGGCATCCTTCCCTGGCTTGGCCTGACAGCCATCCAGAGAGGGCAATTCTCTGCAAGAAATGTACCAAAAAGGCAGCTTCTCCTGGCACACTTGATTGCGCCTGGCTAGCGGAAGCATCTCCCAAGCCATCTTTACTTGTATGAATATTTATAGCTGACAAACACCACCATGAGCCTTCCTGACGGACCACGGGAGCTGAAGGGAATCCGATCAGTAATGAAGTGTTAATTGGAGAGACTCCAGGCCTGCTTATTAAAGAAGAATTCTAATTGCATTAATCATTTGAGCTGCACAACTCTACAGGGGAGACATTTTGCATGCCAAGGTGGAGAAAATGTGGACTGAGGGTTGTGTGGCATCCAGCCCATATCGCATATATGGTTGTGCGTGAGTTGCAAGGAAGTAAAAATGTAGCTTAGTGCACAGGGACATATACATACACATACACAGGGTGAGGGTGGGGGTAGAGAATATCTTCCATACCTTGTGTTCCAATTATTCTTTTAATTGTTATTTTCTGTCAACTGATTTATTATTCTTAATATATTGCTTACTCTCTCCCTGAGGCCTCTGTGTTATTTATTTATTTCTACAGAAATTGCTACCTCGTTTCCTTCATTGCAAAGGAGGGGAGAAAACAACCCACAATGTGGCTTATAAAACATAAAGCGGATTAAAAAAAAACACCACCACAAAAACAAGGTAGCTAATTTTGTTAGCTACATGTTAAAAAAATCTAAAAAGGCAACCCCCCCCCCTTTAAGACGTGGAAATGATTCCACTGAAGAACCAAATTCAAGTTCATTTCATTTGAAGTAGGGTGGGAAGTCCTGTCTTGAAGCAGAGAGTTCCACATCCAGGGCCTAGACACAAAAGCATCTTCCTGTGGATTAACAATGACCCAGAAGGAAAATGTAAATGAGATGCTAAAATGAACAAAGTCACCATATTTTAATTAGCCAGCTCCCAAGTTCTTTAGGAAGTGAAATAGCTTTAATGACTTGTCTTAGGGCTATGAAGTCAACATGTTCCATAAGCACAGAAGCCTCATGGTTGCAGATTGGCAGAACTTAATTGAGAACAGAAAGATGCTGGCTGTATAATTTGGGGGGGTATTGCTTTTTTAAATGGCTTGACTAACTTTCTCCGCAGGTTGGAGAATTAGTAGGGGGGGGATGAAAGGGGACTTCAGGTGCCACGCACCTTCTGCCTGATTCTAAACTCTATTAGTACCTTTGGATCTCAAAAACCCTGAAGGTTAGTGGGGGGGGGTGATCAGCCATGCAAAGCTGGGAACAGAGAGGGCCAAAATCTGATCCTGGGCTCATCTCTTAGGACAGGATTCTGCCTTGGAGTGAACTGAGATGGAAGGTGACAACTTGAATAGAACATAACAGAATTTCCAGTCCCTAAAACACTTGGATGCATAAAATGTACTTATTCGTTTGTTCATTTAACATACAGGGCGGGGCATAACCTTTTCCTAGGGGGTCACAGCAAGATCGACAGCAGTTTACAACTTCCGCGACACCTCATTTTAAAGC